ATTTTAGACGAATGGTATATGTAGCCTAATATGTTAATTAAATGAAAAATAATATATATATTATGTTAATTAATTAATTTTTTTAGTTTTAAATTTATTCATATTTTATTTTTTTAAAATTATTTAATAATTTTTATTCTTTTTATAAAAGCCAATTTTGAAAATGTTTTTTATTCGAGTTCAATTTTTTTTTTAACATATATTTTCAATTTTATTTGATAAATATATTTAAAAATATTATATATAAAAATCCGGTTGAACCGTATTGAACTCGGTCGAACCTTTCGATTCAGTGAACCCCTCCCTTTACTGGTTTACTGACAGGTCTGGTTCTCAGAACACTGCCTACTGACAATAGAGCAGTTGAATAGAAATTCCACTCTAGCAGCCCTCGTATCAATTATAACACAAAATGGCAACGTTTTATATTAACATAATAATTCACTCTCCCTTGGCATTGCTACAATCAAATAACCAAACAGTGAGTTTTAAGAACTAAATATCAATCAAATTATCCTAATCACAGTTACATGTTCCGTCCAACTAAGTTCTCATTTTGAGGTTCTCTTCGCTTCTCATTTTAAACAAAAATTGGATAATAAAAATTCGACCAAATAAGCTTCAATTACCTTCTCATCGAATTGGGGAGGGCCGAAGTAGGTAAGGAAGAGTAGTAGCATCGAGAATGGCTTGGACACCAGCATCGAAGTCACATACGAAACTCCCTATAGCTACCTTTGACTAGACAATAATGTTACTAATATAGTTATTGTTTTGGTCTGTTACGTTGACACATCAGCTAATTGAGAGTCAGCTTTGTCAATGGCAGCGGTAAGGATAGAGGAGACAACCAGGACGACACCTAGCTTAAGGAAGGAAAGCTTCTTGGTCCGATTACTGATGATCTGGTTCTTGACTTTTCTAAGAGCATTGAGCTTGATTTCAGGGTTAGGAGACAAGAGGCAAGAGAGGAGGTCCATAGGACGATGAGTCTATGTGGCAAAGGCGGTTGGCATGGTGATGAAGAGGCATAGAAAAGGAAAATCAATCCTACAGGTAGAAGAGAAAATGAAGCGAGAAGTGGAGAATTTGCAATTGAATAATTTGGATTCTATTATTGCAAAAGAACGTAAATATTGTTGTTTTATATTATAATTAATCGGGGTTGCTCTAGTGGAATTCCTAGTCAGTTGCTTATTGTCAGCAGGTGAGACCCATTAACAGACATGTCAGCATGATTCTAACTGGATGGAGGTCACAATTGTTAATAAAAAAATAAGTTAAAAATAAGTTACACGTATTATTGAAAAAAATTAAAAGAATTGGCTAAAATGGTTAAAACATTCAAAATTCAGGCTTACTTGATTATTGGCCTTTGTTTTATAACATTTTATTTCTTTTAATTATGAATAATGTTTCTAAATTTTTTGAATTAAAATATGATTTTATATTGTAATTTAGTGAACGTGTTTTTCCATTTTATATTTTAATTTTCATTCTCTGAGAAAACTTTTTTCTCATAAAACAAAAAATTATTTTATATAAGTAAACATACCCTTATTGTGATATCCATTTTCCATTTAATTAATATTTTAAAATTGTAAAAAATAATTATTTTCCTAAAAATATAAATATACCTTTCTAATTATAATCGTAAATATATATATATATATATAATGGCGGAGCTAGAAATATTTTCTAGTGGGATCATTTTATTTAATTTGATTTTTAGTGGGTCAATTAGATTAAAAACTCTAATTTTTTTAACTTAGTGTATATATTTTTTAATTTTTTTTATCAATTTAATCCTATTTTATAAATATTTTTAAAAAATTAAGTGGCGCCAATTAACCCCACTTCACATAGTGTGCGGCCCCTATATATAAGTCTAAATAGAATTTATGATTTTTATTTATTTATAATTTCTAAAATAAAAAAAATAATATTTATAATTTCGTTTTTGCACGGGTTTGGATGATAAATCAATTTTAAAATTGATTTGGAATGGCTAGGTATCTAATTTGTAATAGATATTCGACCCATTGGCAACATTACTTGTTTAAGAAAAAGGATATTGTACTAAAGGTCAATTTTTAAAACTTATTTTTTAAAAAATGTCATTTTGACTTGGAGATTTAATTATGTCATTTACGGTATATATTTACTATCGTATTCTTTTTTTTATTTTTAGGGCGTTATTTTTGTTAATATTTCAGTGTTACTTTTTTTAAATTTATTATCTTTTTATGCTATCGTTATTTTCAGCCACCATTATTTTCTCTCATTCTTTCTATTGTTCCTACCGTTATTTTCAGCTGACATTATATTTTCTTTTTTTTTTTCTATTGTTCCCCAATTTCATTTTTTAGTCTCTATTATTTTTTCTCATTCTTTCTGTTGTTTCATGGTGTCATTTTTTAATTGATAAGGTATATTGATTTTCGATTTTTGTTCTATAAGCGATCGTGGTATTATTTATGCTTTGAGTGACTCTCAATTATGCTTGGATTGATACTAATACAATATGCATATGTATATTCTGTATTTAATTGATTATATATATAAGGCTGATGGATTATTTATGCTTCCTGAATGTGACTCTCAATTAAATTCTAATGGATTGAGTACTAATACAGATATGCATATTGTATATTAATACATTGTAAAGTCTTAATTGATTATACTATGATATCCATATATATATATATATATATATATACCGGTATATAAGTATATTATCAGTACATTATAACGTATATATCCCTTGCATACATTTAATACCTATATATATATATATATATATACCGTATATAAGTATATATCATACATATAACGTATATATCTTGCATACTATATACCATATATATATAGTATTTATCTTTGTTATCGTCAATCACTGTTCCCATTTTCCTTTTATTTTTTGTTAGGGCACTAAAGAATAGAACATTTCAGCGTTTATTTTTTTTCAATGTTTCCCTTTTTCTAGTGTTTCCTTTTTTTATGTTTCCTTTTTTCAGTTTTTCCTTTTTAGTGTTTCTCTCTAGTAAGATTACTTTTAGTATTATTTAAATTTTTGTGACCAAAAGTGTTATTTGTTAGGATACCGGCAATAAAAATACGAGACACCACCACCAACATTATTATCTTAATTTGTATTCTTTTCTGATATTTTGTTAAAATTGAAACTTTATATCCGATATTTGTTAAATGCCCCTAAAAAAAAACAAGGTAAAATTGTAACCAATTAACTCTTTTAAAAATAAAAATAAGAATAAAAATAAGCATTCAATTGGTTCAGTGAGTTAAAATAAACTAAATTTGTATAAATTGAATAAACTAATTTTTTACATTAGAAAAATCAAATCAATTGAATCAATTCCATTTCATAATTATTTGACTTAATTTTAGTTAAGTTAGTTTGATTTTTAGGCCTTATTTGACAACTTTTAAGTTAGCTTTTGACGTTTTAATCAAATTAAAACTTTATTTCTATTAATTGAGCTATTCAATAATATAATTTTTATAATAGCTTTTAAGGTTGAAAAAACTTTTTATGAAACGTTAAACATTCTAATGTTTAAGTCTTTGACGTTTAGTGTTTAGTTTTTTAATTGAACTTTTTTTAGACAATATATCCATTAATTTTCCCGAATTTAACTAATTAAAAAACTAATGTAACCAATAACATGTACTTTTACCAAACACTCTGCTATATAAACGTCTACTAGCTAAAAAACTAATAGCTAACAATTAATAGCTTCTACAATAACTAACAACTACTAAGCAATTAATATCTCTAAATAGAACCCTACAGTATGTTTGGAACTAATAAAGTATAAATATATAATTTATTTATAAATGAATTTTTCATGTTTGATGTGTTATAATTTTTAAATAAGGAATTCAATTGAACTATATAAAATTATGTGAGGAATAAATTCTTAAATAAAATTTATTTATTTTTATTTCCTAACATATACTTGACATAATAATTTAATAAAAATAAATAACAAACATAATAAAGTATGATAATAGTGCCGGTTGGAGTGTAAGGAAAAATTAAATTATTAGTTATAATAATAATAATAATAATAATATAATTAAATACATGTGATTAAGAATATAATTTTAATATAGGGTAATTTACTAAACACAATTAATAAATTTTAAAAAGTTCAATCAATATATTAATTTCATGCCATTTGTTAATTCTTTTACATGCATAAAGTATTGTTTTTAACTTTTTAACATTATTTGACACTTTTTTTTTCATTATACCAAGTAAAAATAATGTTTTTAGTTCTCTAAGCTTTTTTTTTTCAATAATAAGCAATGGCTGATGAGTGTATTTACATGTTATTAAGAAAATTAAATTTTAAATGGTTTTATCGAGTTTGATAAAATTAATAAGTTGAATAAGCAAAAATAAATTGAAAATTTCATTTTATAGAAGAAAAAAAAAGATAATTTTATTATAAGAAGATAGATTCTTTAGTTTTATAGAATTTATTTAGAAATTATATCTATTTTCATAAAATTTGATTTAATTATATTCAATTTCGTAAAATTAAAATCTAATTTTTTTTTCAACCAAACACAAAAATATGAATTCAAAATGAATTTCATCAGCTTTTATAGAATTCATTTGTTCCAGACAGGGCTTAGAGTTTTACATTTTTATTCTATCATAAAAATTAAACTAAATTGAAGAAATTATATTAAACAAACTAAAATTTTAAAAATTAAACTAAAATAATCAGGTTGATTTAGTTGGATCGGTTTTATCATATTATGCTCTTGACAAGGGGGTATAATTGAAATTTGTGATCAAAGCCAAGGGTGATTGTAAGTGCAAGAAAGAATGCAGCACAGCAAAGCACAGCAGGCAGCAGCGTCGGTTGGCACGTACGGAAGGTCTACGTCACACGTGCGAGGCCACTGTCCTGTGATTGGTTGAGATGATGCCCGTTTTAATTCCAAGCATCTATTCCACTCACTAAAACACATACACACAGACTCACTCTCTTTCTCTCTCTTAAAAAAAAAATAAAATAATAAAAAGATAAAAATCAGAAAAAAAAAATCTTTTGAAGGAAATTAGAGAGAGTTTATGGTTTTGGTTTCTGGCTTTTATTTTGTTTTCTTCTGTTTGGTGTCACTTTACAGCTCACTACCTCCATTCTTCGTCACAGATCGAATCTAAGGTGTGTTTCTGTGTCTGCTCTAAATTCTTAAAATTTTCTTCATTTTTTTTCCTTTTTTTTTCCCATAAAAATCTAATCTTTTTCTTTAGCTAAAATTCACAAAAAATAGGTACTTTTTTGGTTTTGATTTGGAGTGTTATTTTGCTTGTTTGCTTAAATTCGTTGAGAATCTAAGTGTTTTCTTGAAAACTGCAGATTTATGTGTTTTCTTCAGCTGATTAGTAGTAAATGTGGTTAATTATCGAAGTAGTTTTTGTATTTGCAGTTTTAGATTTTTTTAATTTATTTTCTTTGAGCTGCGTAAAATTTTGTTTTAAAATTTCTTCTTCGGATAGAAATTTATAAAAATATATCTAATTTCAGTTAGATAGCTACCATTTTTAATTGGATATAAGAGCTTAAATGTTCTCATAGATTGCTCTGTTCAGCATAGATTATCATTTCTGTTAAAGTTTCCAATATGATGTAATTTTATTGTTTTTTAGTGGGTCTCGAAAATTTGTGTTATTTGGATGGTTTAGTTTGGTGGGGTATGGTTGGATAATATTTGATATCTTTATCTGGTATATTTTGTCTATTAGGAACTTGAATTCTTTTAATGCTGGTTGGAAATGTTAAACTCTAACTTAGTTTAATGGCTATAAGTGTCGAGTGTGGTTTGAATGAACTGATTTCTGCAACATTATTCGTAGATTCATGGTGTAAATTTAAGATGGTTTATTGTGATACTTAGTATTAAAGTATGACAAGTGTGGGAAAATTAGTTGAATAGGATGATACACATTTTTCACTGAATTTCACAAGAAGGAAGTAATAGTTTAGGAACTCCAAAAAATAAATTTAATTTTGAATATCTTCTTATGTGCTTCCCCAGCTAGATAGATATGTATTATTTAGATATACATGCTTGAAATCTGTCTTTTTATATTTAAAGTTCAAACTTAATTGTGAGAGCACAACCTTTTTCCTCTTTTTACCCAATGCTTTATCTTGCTGGTGCTGATACTATGGTGACCCTCTATTTCCCCCAGGAAACCTTTTCTTTCTTTGTAGCTGCCATATGGTATCATCAACTAACTGTATGTTACAAGGGAAGCATTTTAGAATGTGGTCTATCAAATGATTGGTAGCGGCTGTATTATGCTTGACCAGTGCCATTATGGCCCTTTCTCTGAGGACATGTCAAGGAAATTGGCTTTTTTACATTCTACTGCTCTATATCCTTCTAATCAAAAGTGGAGCTATCAATTCTGATGGTATGTGACATTGAATTTTGCTCATGTATTCTGCTGTCAAAGTAGTGAAGTTGTTGATGCAAAATCAGGGGCCGAATCCTCTTTGCATTTATAAGAATTTTAGTTCTTTATAATTGTACAATATCCTGTGTTTGTTGTTACAAAATTTCATTGCAGGTAACCATTCATAAGGGAAATACCCTGGAATGTTCCATCATTTATTTCGCTACTTGTCTCATGAAAATTTTCTTCATTATGTCATTAGATATTTGACTAACAATGGTTGATGCTGCATGATCATGATCATCTTAATAGTTCAGCTGTTGAGTAGCTTTCTAGGTGAGATGTATTAGGCATTGCTTTCCAACATCTAAGTTTTCATAGCCTGTAGTTTATACACAAACTATATTCTAGATACCATGAGTTCTTCCCAATAATTGTGAGGATGTATAAGCACCCGAATACACTTGTGATATTTTATAATAAGTTCATTTGTTACTTTTGTAGGTGAGGCTCTTCTAAATTTCAGGAATGCAATTGTTAGTTCTGACGGTATCCTTCCTCTATGGAGACCTGAGGATCCTGACCCTTGTAAATGGAGAGGCGTGACATGTGATCAGAAAACCCAGAGAGTTATATATTTGTGCGTTCTTTCCCACATAATTGGTTCACTTTCTATTGTTATTGTTGAGCTGAGATATATTCTCAAGAATATTGACTATGGTTTGCTAAAAGGTGTGGAAAAGTAATATTTGTGAACTTTGGCATTACTTTCTCATGGAATGCATCATGTTGAAGGGCATTGTAAACAATGAAGGATGCCAAGCAAGCACCCGTATATTATTTTTGTTGGCATACATATATATTTTCGTACTTTATAAAAGAGTATCTTGTGGCATTGAATGGTGAACCCTTTGTCATGTGAAAAATAGGAAGGATTAATGAGCTTTGGACAATTGGTAACCTTGTTCAAGAGCATATATTTTCCTGCAGCACTCTTCTGCGTTTAATTTTTTCTTTCTTTGAATGGAATGTTGTGAATCATTTCAGTTGTTTTCTAAGTCATGGTGTATATGCCGTATGTTTTGCGTTTTGAATTGCATTTATTTAGCTGAAATAAACTCTTACGCCACAATACCTATAGTATAAAATGCTTCCTTATTCTTTTATCACAATTTTAATTAATCAGAGATATATATGCTTGCTGAAATTCTAGTTGTTGATACTTCAGAGTTGAGTGTTTCCATAAACCACCAAATAAAATGAGTCCCAAAACCAAAATATCACAAGTACCACTGTCCTGGACCATCAAAAGGAAAAATATAACCAAATCTCTTTTTGCCTTGGTGGCTACCCTCTGATATGATAAGAAAAAACTAGATAAGTAAACAAGTAACAATTCTATTTTGATGGTTTAGGGTTTCATATACTGATATCTTCTCTAATAGGTTGTTTGGGAATGCTAAAAATGTTTATTTTTCATTGTGAAAACAAACCCTATGGTACTGTAAAGCTGTATATATGTATTAATATTCACATGCACACACTCTCAGAGCACTGTGTATTTCATGATATAATATAATAAATGCCTATTGTATTGAATTTAACATTCTGCATTTTTTCTTTAAATTGTTCATCTTGCAGGAGTCTGAAGAATCACAAATTAAGTGGACCTATATCTCCTGACATTGGGAAGCTAGACCACTTGAAGATTTTGTATGTATTCTTAGGATTTCTGATTTTTATTTATAGTTGGTTTCTTCCTTGCTGAATTTTGAGGATAAGGTGCAATTTCTGATGCACTTCCAAATTCATGTGTTATAGAGATCTGAAAAACAACAACTTCTATGGGACAATTCCTTCAGAATTGGGAAATTGCACAGAGTTGCAGGGAGTGTAAGTATCTCTAATGGAAAAATTCAAAACCAATTGACATGTTCCCTGCCACTGAATTAATGTTTTTGGCTTTTGTTTTGGTCAATTTGAAAATTATTGCAAAATGCTTCACTAGCAGCCACTAGTTTATTCTTGTCTTTCATTTCCCTTAGTTGATACTATTGATTAAGGATAAGCAGTGTAGGATGCTTGATTTTCATTTAGGGCCTTATGGTCCTTGAGAATTCCTGATTTGGTCAATGGTTGATACTCATACAAAGTGACTTAAAAATTAAACCATTCTGAAATCCTATCATCTACCTTCAGCTGGTAGATGCTGCTTTCTATCTCTACACATACTGCATTTTCCTGGTCATGAATATAAGTTCTGATGATGCATCAATTACTTTTCCTTTAAAAATTTCCTTTTTTTAAAGTGAAAACCTTTAAGAAATGTATTTTGCCACACTTGTGTGAAGTTGCCTTTGCAGAGTTTTGAATCATTCAAATATGTGTCGTTCAAATAGAATATCAAACCTCCTATGCGTAAGAGGAAATAAGAGTTATCCATTATGAACTAGTATTTGAGGACCTCACTAAATCTTGTAAATGTAGCAAGATAATATTTACCTTGCTAGGAGAGGATTTTTACAACTCAGGTGCACTCTTTTTCTGTATTGTCTATTGTGGAGTCAGTAACCTCAAAAATTTCTCAGAGATATATGTGATGCCTGTATTTCTATAATTGTCTAAAATTAAAGTCCAAAATATACTTGCTTATTTTTTATTGATGCTTTAGGAAGGAGAAAAAAACTGCTACTGTTTAATGTTGCTTCTTTGTATCCAGGGTGCCTCTATTTCTTGAAATTCTCTTGAGCATAATGTACATGTGATAAATCCTCCTCTACTTATAGAGGCCTGCCTTGGTTGTTAATGTTTTCTCATCATTGCTGAAGAAAAATGTACCTTTTATCACTTACTTAGCTGATAGTAGGAACTGATTTGCACATTTTGTCTTGCAGTTGTTTTTCCTTGTCTCAACGAATCTTGGTAGTTAATAATTCAACATATAAGTATTTAGAAAACTCTATGAAGTTGCTCTTTTCATTGTGATTTTATAGTTAGCACCCTTTAATCCATTTTTGAATGGTTGTGTGTGTATGCATATCATTACATTTATTCTTGTAAATGGATGTCAAAGTAAATTGTACATATTTCTTCTGCTGCAGATACTTGCAGGGTAACTACTTAAGTGGACTAATTCCAAGTGAATTGGGAAAATTATCTGCGCTTCAATATTTGTGAGTTGTTTTCCTTATGATGCATGTCATCATTTTTCAATTTACAGAGTTAATCCTGCGAGTACTCTAGTTTGGTTTAGTTTTCAGAGGAACTTTGTTCCTGCTTAGTCATTCCTGAACCCTATTTGTATCCCAAATTAATCTGAGGGAAATAATTTTTTCTGCTCAAGAGTCAACAATGAGCTGCAAATTCTATGCTCAAATAAATGCTGTGCTCAAGTTCCTTGTGTGAATGAATTTAATGAATATTTTTATGTGTTGGTAAAATGTGAACTCATTAGTATTCTTTTCTTTAATAATGCAGGGATATCTCAAGCAATTCTCTCAGTGGATCAATTCCTCCATCACTTGGAAAATTGAATAAACTCATTGCTTTGTAAGTATATTTGTTTCCATCTAATTAATATTTTGAAAATTTTTTACTATATTAGCAATTAAAATATGTTACGCCAAATCTGATTTTTTTAATCTTTTCGAATTTTGAAGCAACGTGTCAAACAATTTTCTCATTGGACCAATACCATCTGATGGCGTACTTATCAACTTCACAGAAAGCTCGTAAGTCTAGCTGCTATGTTTAATAGATTTCGAGTCATTTGAAGGTCATCTAGTTACCTAGACATACTTTGAGGTGCATTAGAAGGTGATCTAGTTACCTAGACATACTTTGAGGTGCATTAGAAGGAGTGCTACTCTATTGTGGTTATAGTTTGGTGAAATCAAATTCTACTGTTGCCATAATTTACTCCAGTATTGACAAAAGCAGATTCTATACTGATAAATTGAAGTTTATATTATAGTTTCATTGGGAATCGTGGTTTATGCGGGAACCAGATAAATATGGCCTGCAAAGACGATAATGGAGGGCCTGCAACTAGTTCACAATCTCCTCAATCAGGTGAACTTTCAACATGCAAAGCTGATTCTTTGATTATTTTTCTCATTGGCACCCCACTTTACAGGTTTAATTTGCTATTCTTGATATTATGGTTCCACCTTTGGGATTATAAAATTTGTAAATAAATGAGTATCACAGGCAATTTTGTAAACTTTACTTATAATTTGGAGCACTTGAATCTGGCTCTTAAATTTCTGGAGTCACCTAAAGAAAATGAAAACTTGTTTCTCTGAAACGACATTGTACTATTTACCTGTTTTCTTACACCTTGTCTTGCTGCTTTGTGTTAACAAAATTAATATTTCACCATTTTTAGCACAAGGTCAAGGTGGAAAGAAGAAATACTCAGGGAGATTGCTTATTAGTGCTTCAGCGACTGTTGGTGCACTGCTTTTGGTGGCACTTATGTGTTTTTGGGGTTGCTTTCTTTACAAAAAGTTTGGTAAAATTGAAAGTAACAGCATAGCAATGGATGTCAGTGGAGGTACTCTTCTTTAATTACTGGAAATGTTTTTAGTCTTTCATATGTATCTAAACATTTTAACTTATGAGTCCTAAAACTCACCTATTGGTTCATGTGATCTCATTGTTTCAGGTGCTTCAATTGTAATGTTTCATGGGGACTTGCCTTACTCTTCAAAAGACATCATTAAAAAATTAGAGACCTTAAATGAGGAACACATCATAGGTTGTGGGGGTTTTGGAACGGTGTACAAGCTTGCAATGGATGATGGCAATGTATTCGCTTTGAAAAGAATTTTAAAGATGAATGAGGGTTTTGATCGTTTCTTTGAGAGGGAACTTGAGATTTTGGGAAGCATAAAACATCGATACTTGGTGAACTTGCGCGGTTATTGCAATTCTCCAACCTCAAAATTGTTAATTTATGATTTCCTCTCTGGTGGCAGTCTTGATGAAGCACTCCATGGTAAGATATGCATATTACATTTATCTTTTTCATGTGTTAATATATTGGAATTGATGAATTGCATATGTATGCCTCTTACCAGCCCTAGTACTCGCGAGCATGGTGGTCCTCTTAATCTTCTGACAAAAAGTTATAGTTGTGAATGTGAAAATTAATAAAGTGATTTCCACACTTCGAATGCCTAAATTCGTGTAGCCTCATATATGGGTTTTTCAATTCCTACCAGTTGAGGTAGACTTGCTCTTGCATAGCTATTGCCCTTGTCCACAATTATTGCGGTGGCTTATTTCCAACCTTGAGCTGTGATTTTGTTGGTTGAAAGATTTAATGATCTTCCTATTTGATGCTCTAGCTTTTATTTGATCTCTCTCTCTCTCTCTCTCTCTCTCTCTCTCACTTGTTGGGTTGGAGGGTGGGGCTTGATTAGTTAATAATCGATTAACTGAATCTAGTATCAAGGCCTTAGGTTTGGATTCTTCTGGTATTGTTTGTCCTATGGCTACTATGATCTCTAGAAAGAGCAAAATGTAGTTTACATGCCTTGTGTGACATTTTGCTGATCAACGTCTCAACACATCTTTATAAGAAAAGAAAAAAAAGAAATGGTGTCATTTGAATTCTTGGCATATTCTGGTCTTGGGCATTGGCAAATGTGTGATGTACTTGCAGTTAGACTTTTGAAGTTTTGGTTGTTGGAGTAGCAATGGCCGACTGCCTATGGCAATGCAATTTTGGGAATATAGTTCTAGCATCATCTGGGAGTACCACTTACTGTTATTCATCTGCTTTGTTTTACTCTTGAGCCCCAGTAAACTATGAACATGTACCATATATTTAGTGATATGAATCTTGAGAGAACCAAAATCTAGAAGCTAGCTAATGAGGCTGGAGAGGCCAAAGTCCATCATAAACTACAGCTTCGAAGTATGAGAAATGTGGGATTCAAGTCAGATACCTTGCTATTAAAATCATGACATCCCATCATGCTTCACAGACCTGGTGCTCATGTTGGCTAGCTGTGCACTATGCTTTTCCTAGTCCCAGTTGAAAATGCAATACCATCCACTCATGTCACACAATAATTTCCTTATTACCTTACATATTAACCGTCTTGAGTGCTCTTATTTCCAAACTCCATTTTTTAAATATAAAATATCTCAGATTTATTGTATTGACACTAATCTTTTCATAAGTTCAAATTTAAATGATTAATTTTATACTCATTTGTTTCCTTATGCCTGTTTGTATTCCCAAAACTATCCTCTTTAAGTCTCTTGTTTCTTCTTGTGTTATATTTAAAAACGTCAACTTATGATAGGAAAATCACAATGGGTTCAAGTAATCTTTTATTTTTCAAAAATCTACATATATAACCAAACATCATTTTAATTATAAATAAATTTTCACTGTAATGAAACAATTGAATCGTCATTTATCTTAACAAGATCTATTAATTGGGGAACATGGTGGCTGGCTCTGGTACACAAACTGGCTTGAACCTCAGGTAAACCATATCACAAAGCATGGCTGGATTACCATGCCTTGTGATGGTTGTTGATATGGATCTGAATCCATCTTTATTGAAAAAGATAAAAATGGTATAGTTGAAATGCTTGGATCCATTCTTCTCTTAGGCCTTACTGATAGATTGAAGATGTGGATTAGGCCTGAAGTGATTTTTTAGGTTCAGTATTTTCTATTTCTTTATGGATTTTTTCAATCCAGCTTTTGGATTTGGATGTATGCTTTCTATAAATTTGTTGCACGAGGACCAAAAAAATGAGGGAGAGACAATGAGCTATTATAACCCTTATGCAGAAAGATCTGAGCAACTGGACTGGGATGCACGTCTGAATCTTATCATGGGAGCAGCAAAAGGATTGGCCTACTTGCATCATGATTGTTCCCCCAGGATCATACATCGTGACATAAAATCAAGCAATATTTTGCTTGATGGCAATTTGGATGCTCGAGTATCTGACTTTGGACTAGCCAAATTGTTAGAGGATGAAGAATCACACATTACAACCATTGTTGCAGGGACATTTGGTTATCTAGCTCCTGGTAAGTGAGATATAAAGTCTTGAATTATGTTTTCAACTAAACCCAAAATGCTTGGATGAATATTTCTGATGAAGTAGACACTCAACATTGAGTTTCGGCCAAAAATCATTTTGGGATATATAAATTCATCCCCCTTTTCATAGATAAAGAAAAAAATATTTTTTTGATAATGCCATGATAACTATCTGCTAATCTCTTTTAGCTTATAATGTAACCTTGAGGAGAACTTTGATAGTTCTTGTACTGGTCATCACTTGATGTGAACTTCATATGCCATATATTAATTTCAATTAAACATATTGTATTCTGATTTTGTTTCACTCCATTTGCAGAGTACATGCAGAGTGGTAGAGCCACTGAAAAGACTGATGTTTATAGTTTTGGGGTCCTGGTGCTTGAAGTGTTAAGTGGAAAGCGACCCACAGATGCATCATTCATCGAGAAGGGTCTGAACATTGTTGGTTGGGTATGCTACTGGCCTAAGTACCAGCAAACTATAAAAATATAAAGTGATTTTTAATAATCATTAGAAGCATTTTTCTTCTAAAATTTCGATGCAACATGATGTATATGCTAGTAGAACTACTCTTATAATTGATTCAAGTTGGTAATTTACAGCAGTATAATTAGGGTAATAGTGGATTCCAACCCTGTGAACTAGCATTTCTTTGAAAACTTCTCAAACAACAATGAAATTGCCTCTATCCTGTTTGCTTAGCTTTAGAAGTGAACTTGTACACTTGGTGAACAGCTCGGTAACAACTCCTTCATGTTTATCTACAGAAATGAGTTTGAAAAAATAGTTTCGGCTGTTTAATCACCAAGCCAGAGCAAGTTTGGGTGAGCTTTGGCTGGGTAGTTGTTTTGATGGAACCAAGCTTGAACATAAAGCTTATATCACAAGTGGCTTAAATTATTTCTAGCCCGAGCCACTAGGTTCAAGTCTAGGTGAGAGAGGGAACAAAGCATTGGTTCATCATGAAGAACCCGACTCAACATGGTTCATTCACCCTCCTAGTTGGTTTCAGGCATTTTGTATCAGAAAAAATGTACTTTTCAAGTAAAACATTGCATCAACAACCAGCATTTGCCTCGAATGTGGTCAAGTGTACTCATCTATTTTTCCTTTTTTGCAGTTAAATTTTTTGGTCACAGAGAATAGGCAACGAGATATTGTCGATACTAACTGTGAGGGCGTGCAGATAGAAAGCCTTGACGCTCTGCTTTCAGTTGCCACTCAATGTGTCTCTTCGAGTCCAGAGGATCGACCCACCATGCACAGGGTAGTTCAGATACTCGAGTCTGAAGTCATGACCCCATGCCCAAGCGACTTTTACGACTCCAGCTCTGATTGAAGCATGTGGGTTTCAGGACGTGTTTTGAGTTTGCAATCACAAGTGTGGAGCTTTTTGGGAAGCAGTGGAAGGGGCTTTGAATCTGCAGCAGTTTTGTATGTTGATTTTATTCATTCATTCTTTCTGCAGATTTATGACAACTAAGACACATTGCTTCATTTGTCCGTCAGACCATACAAGTGATTAGTCATCTACCGGAATTCATCATACACATTAGGATCTGCTCGTTTTGCATGGATGTTTCAAGAGAAGACTGTTCAATACGTGATCGGAGTTTCTACTTGTGGGGCGAGTTATTTATTCATCCATCCTCTTTTTTTTCCCCTTGTCGACCTTTTGTTGTAATCCCCTTTCACATTCATTCTCTCAAATTAAGTGTATATGCAATATCTGTATAAATTGAGAATATCTGTCTTTGCAGAGGATTCAGTGTTTTTGCCATTTTGTAAAATATATTTATTGCAATAATCAGTGTCTGCAGTGATTGTCTTCTCCTCTGTTGTGCATCTTAGAAGCTTATTTTGCTTTTTGTGTGTGTTTATGTTTGGGGTGGGTAATACATCAGATGTGGATACTAGGATTTGAATGTGTTACTTCTGTTTGGAACAAATTAAATAAAAATATAGAATTCATTTGATAATGAAATTTTCATAGAATTTCATTTATAAACGAAGTTTCTGCGTAGAATAATATAATTTTTAAAATATGAAATTTGACTAAATGTTAATTTTTAATAAATCCAAAATTGAATTACATTATTTTTCAAAAAAATTTTAGTACAGTGATTATTTATAGTAAATTTATAATTTTGAAAAAAAAATATATAAAAAGAACTATAGTTGAGAAAGGAAAACAAGGGATAATTATGAATTTGATGAATTTTTTTTTTTTTATTTTCGGTTTTGAATGGAAAATATTTACAATTAAGTGTTTGAATTAATAATTTTAGTAAATTAAGTGCATATAGTCAGAACTTTTACTATTAAAACAAAATGAACTATCTTATTCAATTACTTTGCTTTATTTAATTTCCCTGATTATCATTTTTTTTTTGTGTGTTTTTTGTCCTTTTTTAATATTATTTTTGAATTCAAATAAAAATTAGAAGGAATTTTTAAGACATTTCATTAAAAAATAGGTATAAAACCTCTCAGTTAACAACACAGGCTAGGTATGTGGAAAGAGTTTTCGAGTTCGATCCCTACTAAACACACTTGTAGGGAGGGACAAAGAGCCTTGACTGTGATTAAGCCCTAAGCCAAATTAGGTAGTCCTTGATAATATGGTACGAATACTGGTGGTTTACATAAAAAAAAATATAAAATAACGAAAAATTGAAAAACCAAAAACAAAATGAACTGTTTTATTCAATTGTTTTGCTTTTTTTTAAAAAAATTATTTTAGATTATTATCCTTTTTTATGTGCTTTCTGTACTTTTCTTTTAATATGATTTTCGAATTCAAAGAAAATTAGAAGGAATGTTTGAGATTTTTTATTAGAAAAAATAGATATAACACAATGAAAAATAAAAAAAAAGAGATTAATTAAATGAATTTTCATGTTTAATATCATTTATTGAATAAAATAACCGATTTTAATCTTCAGATAAAATAATCTAGCTAAGTACGCTAATCACAACTTTTTAATAGTTCAAATATTCAATTGCAAATTTTTTCTATTCAAAAATTAAAAATAGAAAAATTTAAAAGTTCAAACACGGTAAATATAATTAATCTGAAAAGGAATATATATATATATATATATATAAAAGACAATGATTAAATAAAAATTAAAAAATAACTCAATATAAAACTAATTTTATAAAATCTCTTATTTATGAACAAAGTTAATCATTGTCATTAAAAAGTTATATTAGTTTTAAAAAATTGAGTTGTTTTTTAATTAAGCCATCCAAGATGACATAAAAAATCCAATGAATAAGTAAAAGCTTTCAAGTGTATGATTTTAGTATAAAATTTATGAAGTAGAACAAACCAATTCAGAAAAAATAAATTTTTTTGGATGCAATCAATCTTGTAGTGTTAGCTTCCACAATAAATGTTCAAACAAAGATAATACCAAATTGTTTTTGATAATGCAAGATTTTCTCCATGGAAGAAATGAAAAATTTGTTGGGTAGAAATATTATTATCAATGTGAAGTGAAGGATATTTTAAAGTATAGATAAATGACATTTTCTTGTATATATATATATATGCACTTCATGCATGAAGACATAGGTGACAAAAGCAAATAACATAATACAGAACCAAATCAACCAAGACTAAAAATACAAATCGAAAATTTTTGAAGACGGACCAAACCGAACTGAAATTAACATATGAATCGAATCGAATCGAACTCAACTAGTTGGTTCGGTTGTTTTTTGTCGGATTTTTCATGTCGATTCCGTTTTAAAGTCCATCGATGGTTCTTTATGAAATTGACTCAAACGGAATAATAATTTCGTTTAAACTAAATGACCGACGACAAACTGAATCTCCTTTGAATAACAAACCGAACCGAATTGAAATGAATCGATTCGATTTTCATTTCACCTGGGTTGCTAGTTTTGCAGAAGACGAAAGCAAATAACATAATACGAAATAAGTAAAATATGATGACAAAGAAAACTACCCCAATGTAGTAGAGTTGTTAGAGTAGTTGAAGAAAGAATGTCTTTCTCTATTATCATTTTGATCACTCCAATATTTTTTAAACACAAGAAACCTATTTTTATTTATTTATTTATTATTAATTACAACCATACCATTACCATACCAACACCCATTACTCTCTCTGTGTCTAACAAACTCCAATTCTTTAATTCTACCATAACAAAGCTAACCCATTGTGTTTCAAGAAAAGGAAAAAATGAAAGAATCTCCAAAATCAAAGCAATGGAGACCCTTCACCTCAAATTGCTGTTCAGCTGAAAACCAAACAATCTTGGGTAACTTTAGCAGATGTAGGCCTTCAAAATCAGATTTCTCAAAGAATATAGCACCATCACCATCATTTAAACGACTGTCGTTTTCTGATCTTAGTAGGTCTTCTTCTCTGCGTATTAATGAAGATATTGCTCAGTCGTTAGGGCCTGACCTGTTTGATTTTCAACTCAGTGAGTTAAAAGCTATAACTCACAACTTCTGCAGCAATTATTTGCTTGGAGAAGGTGGGTTTGGGACTGTTCATAAGGGTTATGTAGATGATCATTTAAGAGAAGGCTTGAAGGCTCAGCCTGTTGCTGTTAAGCTTCTTGACATTGAAGGTCTTCAAGGACACCGCGAATGGCTGGTATTCTTACTTTCTTTCTTTTTTTAGTGTGATTTTGCTGTATGATACGGTTGTTCATTCCACCGAAATTCAAAATTTTGATAACCAATGTAAATTTAATGGACCAAAATCTTTTTATACAAATCGAACCAAAATTGAATATCTTATAAGGTGAAATTGATTCGATTCAGTTCAATTTTGACTATTTTTGGCAAGCTTAATCTTTTTTTTCTTTTTTGGTTTCATAAAAATTACACTAGTTGAAAAAAAAAAAATTATTTTCTCCGTTACGCTGCGGCTACACAACAGAAGGTAATCCTTTCTTTATCTCATCAAATTAGTGAAAACAACTGTAGCGAAGAAGATTCGACTTATTAATCCAGTTAGTGTGCGTTGTGTATTTCCTATTTAACTAATAAAATATTAAATTTGATTTGATTTAATTAGGTGGATTTACCATATTATTCTCAACCCTATCTAGTATTATTAAAAAAAATATATATATATAATAAATAATAAATTCAACCCCGACTCTACTGACTAGTTATAAAAACAATATTAGTTTGAAAAGTTGCAACCTACCATGCAGGCAGAAGTAGTGTTCCTGGGTCAACTGAGACACCCAAATTTGGTGAAACTGATTGGGTATTGCTGTGAGGATGAAGAACGACTTCTCGTTTATGAGTTCATGCCTCGAGGCAGCTTAGAAAACCATTTATTCAAAAGTAAAAAGTTCTAACTATTTATTAATTATTAGTAAATTGTAATTATTTATTAAATAAAAAAATTCACATATTCTATTTACTTAAAATTACAGGGATTTCAGTGTCACTGCCATGGGGCACAAGGTTAAAAATAGCAGTAGGAGCAGCTAAAGGTCTAGCTTTCTTGCATGATGCTGAGAAGCCTGTCATTTATCGAGACTTCAAGACTTCCAATGTCTTGCTTGATTCTGTGCGTAACTTTCATATATTTCTTCCTTAATTACCCACTTTGTTTAGAAAATTAAATTTTGTCATTTTATATATATATATATAGATTGTTTTTTAAATAAAATTAAAATAATTAAAGTGAATTTGAAATGTTGCATATGAAATGTTCTGAAGAATGTTGTATATTTTGTTAATATTAGGACTTTACGGCTAAATTATCAGATTTTGGACTGGCAAAGATGGGACCTGAAGGATCTGACACACATGTCACCACTCGTGTGATGGGTACATATGGATACGCTGCTCCTGAATATGTTTCAACAGGTTAGGCTGCAAAAACAATCAATACTTTTTAAAATGGAACCTTAATTACTGATTAATAACTAATATTTGTTATTTGAAAAATCACATTACATTTAAAAAAAAAATATTATTTTGTTCATAAACCCTTTTAATTATGTAGCTTCTCTTTTTGATATTTAGTTTATGTTGCTCTATGCTAAAAATTTTGAATTTTTAAAAATAGATTGATAAAATAAATAAATTTAATTTTTTAATATATCTATGTTTCCCTTTTAAAACACTAAATAACAAATATCATTATAATTTAATAATAAATTTTTCTTTGACAATTAAAAAACTAAGCTTGTATTCGGCAAGCTTTTGCAGCAGCTGGTTAAAATGCTAAACGTTATCTTTTATAGTGTTTGGTAACATAATAGCATTTGAATTAACTTTTAGAAATTAAGACAGCTTTTTATAAAAAGTTAGCTAATAGCAAAACGTTATTAAAACAGTTACGGTTAACAAAACAACTAATTTTACCGAACAGATCCTAAAACTCAAAAGCAAAAACAACTAATTTCACTTGTCCAATTTAAAAAATGTCATTTCCAATTAATCTTAGGATTCAACATTTGCTAATATAAAATCCTTCTCAGGGCACTTAACAACCAAAAGTGATGTTTATAGCTTTGGAGTAGTATTGCTAGAGCTATTAACTGGAAGAAGAGCAATGGACAAGTCAAGGCCAAAGAGTGAGCAAAATCTCATTGACTGGGCAAAACCTTATCTCACAAGCAGCAGAAGATTAAGGTATATTATGGATCCAAGACTTGCAGGACAGTATTCGGTTAAAGGAGCAAAGCAAATTGCTCATCTAGCAACCCAGTGCATAAGCATAAACCCTAAGGACAGACCAAAAATGCCAGCCATTGTTGAAACACTTGAAGCTCTACAACAGTACAAGGACATGGCTGTCACTAGTGGGCAATGGCCTCCTTCTCCAAAATCCAAGGCAAGTGCTAATCAAAGCAGAAGTACAAGTTATAAAAAACCTTCTCCTCTTGTTCCAACCAAAAAAGCTTAACTTAGTATATATGTGTGTGGTGGGTGTTTGTGTAATTGGAGCAGAATTGAACTTAGACATGTCTGTAAATATGTGAATGGTATATTCATAGCATATATATGTATGAACATATGGAATGGAAAAAATAAAAATTTCTTGGTTTGGAAAATTTACTGGGTTTATTACTATTTAATCTCTATGTTATAACATTATGTTGGCAAAGGAGTTTTGGTATTCATGAAAGCTAGAGATGTAAGTCACGTGATTTTGATGTTCATGAAAGTAGCTAAAATCATATCTCTTGATTTAGCTTAATTTGAATAGAGAGGACTCTTTTCTTTTCAAGAGTAAATCTATGTACAAAAAGCTTTGGTATTCAACAAAGTTTTCCTAGTTTTTTCTCTTGGTAAGTTGACATTATTTTCTTATTTATTAATTGAAGGATATTCAATGATCTTGATTGTATTTTGTCATTTTTTCTTTAAAAAATATGGTCTCAACTTAAACAAATCCCGACAAATTTGGTTGCTTCAATCTTATGAAGATAAACTTATTTAGTGTTTTAAACACGTGTCATTCACATCCTCATATCAATAAAAATCAGTCGTAAAAGATATGGTTTAAACTAATAATGAATCGATCAAATACCGGAAGTTAACCCAGCAGACGAACGTGACTTTTACTCAATCTTTTGGTAATAACTTTTTTTCATGGAAAGAATTTTGATACAAACTTTATACCATTAAAAACTAGATAGAAATAGATTTTCAACGGCATATTATGGGCCAAAATTGAAGTTAAGATAAACCTCGAAACTATGCAAATGAAGGCAAAAAAGAATTGGAAAGCTACAAATTTCACTGGAGGGATGCCTGGCCACCCAAGTTGGCAGCTAGCCGCTTGGTCGCTGACTAGCCACGGCTGGCTGCCAGTAGCCATCAGCCGCCACCTAAGTCTAAGGGCGCCAAGACACTCTAATTTTTTGTTTCTTTAATTCTTGTATTTACTAATTGAATGTTATAATTTTCATATCAATTCGATTAATCATAATTTATCATGTGATTTATCAAATAGGTAAATCAATAATTAAAATAAAATAAAAAAAAAAAACTAGGGCATAAATCAGTCTATCTCACCCTCAACACCATCTGGGACTTTGATTCTTTAGCTACTCTAACAATACCTAGCACCCATACACTTTTGCTTAGAACAACAACCAATAATTTGTAGAGTAGGGTATCCATAAAAGTTTACATTCAAATCAATATTGGTATGCTCGTCATACTCGTTTATAACTTCACCATAAGAGATGATGACATCTCCCAACACCAACCTTCCATCAATTGGAACCAACTTCTCAGGCACAAAACAGTACATATGCCAAGTGTTAACCTAGTATTTGGACATGTAAATTCATTTTGCCATGCGGTTGATATGATTATATAAATTTATCGTAGCATCTTCTGTATTTGGGTGGGTTGCCCATGTTTCTTTCGTAATCGGCTCCCAAATATCTCAACACAAATCGTTCAAATAGGTGGATTTGTCTATTCCAAAGGTTGAGCCTTCGGTTAGATGCATGAAATTTTCAAGCCCTATATTAACTAAATTATCGTTCGATTTCATCAGCATTCTAATATCTTAACAACACCCGTAGCAGGTCCCATTAAGCGTGCCAAAAAAGTTGTTCAATTTGAAATTGTTATGGATCCGTTGGATCTGCATCTATCATGAGTGCCTTAAGATAGGTAGATAAATGGGTTGGGGCCTCTGGAGTCCGAAAAGAAGGAGAGATGAAAAGAAGAGTTAAGAGGGGGAAAGCAAAGATAAGAGGAGCATGAGAGAAATATAAAAAATTATGGGGTTGGAAAAGAAATAGTGACACAAGGTGACTTGAATGCGGTTAAGCAATTCAATTTAGTTGTATAGATGCACGTCAATTACAACATTATTTCTCTTAATTATAAAGATCATAAGAATGTACTACAAGTAAGATGCACCTTCTATTAAATATAAAAAAAAAAAATCCAAATTTATCCTGAATATATGAACTATTTACAATTTATTGATTTTTAGTCCCAACTAAACATTTTAGCATTATTTTTATATAATGATCTTTTCAAAACTTTGTCAATTCGGGTCTTTTAATTACTTGGGATTGATTTTTGGGTTGGGATCAACATCATCACACCACATAAAATCAAAAATTATCTTTTCCATTCTCTGCTCTCAGTCTCTCTCTCTCTCTCTCTCCCCTTTCTATATTAGAGAGTTAGTATTTTCTCTTCTTTATAATAGCATGGCCATAAACACTGCTACTGTAATGAAACCCAAGGCGGCCCATAATGTTAAGCCCAGGGATGAAGTCAGAATAATTATGTTGGGGAGCCAGTCGAAATGTTTTAAGCTTTTAAAGACCAATATAATTTTTTTATATTTTTAAAAATCAAAATGTAATTTTTCATTAGTGGTCAAGGCTACTTTGGCCTCCATTGAACGATAGCTAAACCGATAACAATTCTTCTAGTATAAGAAAAAAAAAAAAAAGGTTTTTTTTTTTCCCAGACTAAACATTTTAAGCATTGATTTTTATATAATGCACTTTTCAAAAAATACTCTGCTTCAATCTCGGGTCCTTTAATTACTTGGAATTGAATTTTTGGGTTGGGATCCAACATCATCACAGACAACAATAAAATCAAAAAATTTATCTTTTTTTCCACTCTGCTCCAGTCTCTCTCTCTCTCTCTCCTTTCTTTATATTAAGAGAGTTTAGTAATTCTTCTCTTCTTTTATAATAGCTTATGGTTCCATTAAACATGCTACTTTGTAAGAAACCTAATGCGGTCCATATTTTAAGCTCAAGGGATGAACCCAGTCAGGAATAATTTATGTTGGTGCGAGCCATCGAATGTTTTCACGCTTTTAAAGAAGCCATTATGAATTTTTTTTATATTTTTAAAAATCAAGACAATCGGTTAATTTCTGTCATTAAGTGGTCTCAGTGCTACTTTGGCCTCTCATTTGAACCGAGTAGGCTAAACCGATATACAATCTCTTCTAGTATAGTGACGAGAAAATAAAAATAAAAAGGTTTTTTTTTTTATTTCATCCCTCAAGTAATATATATAGTAAAAAAAAAAAAAAAGGTTTTTTTTTTTATTTCATCCCTCATCAGTAATATATATATATATATATAAAATCATATTTTCCCTAGGAAGTGACATGCGACACATTTTTCTTATAAGCTTCCACTTGACATTCTAAGTTTATACTTAGCATTTCATCATTCTTTATTTAGTATCATTAATTTGTTGTTGGCTTTTTAATTAAATAATAATAATTCTATTTTTGTCCTATTAATTGTTTTGAGCTCTCTAATTAATTATAGGGTAAATTATTATTTAGTCCCTCAGGTTTTACATAATTATCCAACTAATCCCAATTTTTGCACAAATATCTAACTAATCCCTCAGGTTTATCTCCGTCTAATTAAAAGGTCCTTCCGTCCGAAAAGTTAGTTTTTTTCCATTAATTGAAGACTAAAAGACTAAAACACCCCTGTATACTAAAACACCCCTGTGTTCTCATAGCGACGACATCATGAGCACGGGCAGCCATTTCCGCCGTGGGGAATGTCCCAAGCCAAATACGTGATTTCTTTCTCGGTTCACGGATTTCTAATACCCATTTACCCCAACTTCGCATCCTAACGCCTCTATAGACTGGGTGTTTGCTACTGTTATCTCTTGCTCTTTTCGGTGCTTTTTTTTTCTACTGGTTCTTGAATAATTTTGAACTTGGGTGTTTTGGCACTTGTTATCTTCTTGCTCTTATTTCGGTGCTTTTTTTTCTTATCTGAGTTCTTGGAATATATATTTTTTGGACATTGCTAAATTGGCATGTGGTTCCACGAGTCGGGCGAGTTTGGCTAAAGGGATGGCTGATTTGCGTGAGTGGAGGGAATGAAAGAGAGAGTTGGAAGCTATGTACTTTTTCTTTTGACGTTGAGCCAAATGAGGCGACTGTATAAGTATAAGAAAGATGATGTGTTTTAAAGTGAATATTCATAAAACTGGAAATAAAAGAACTTAAATCTTCATTTACCTAATAAACTTACTGAATTAGAGTAAGGACGACGAACCGGGTAATCCTTTGCTCTTTTGTCGAAATGTGCGATTGATTTCAAAGGGGGAAAATGGCTGTCTTTGTTTTTCTCTCTTTTGGCTTTTTGTCGTTGTTAGGCCTGGCTGTTTGTGTTTTCTGGTGGTTGGGTTGGCGGTTGCGGTGGGTGTTGGGCTGTCTGGGTGTTGTTTTTTTTGGAGATGAAGAGGAGTTGGAGCTAGTACTTTCTTCTGACATTGCTAAAAGGGAACTGTATAGTATAGAAGATGATTTTTAAAGTGGAATAATAAATACTGGAAATAAAAGACTAAATCCATACCTATATACTGAAGATAAGGAGAACGAACGGGTAATCCTTTGCTCTTTGTCGAAATGCTCGGATTGATCAAAGGGGGAAAATGAAATATTTGCCCAGAAAAAAAACGCAACAACAAACACATTACCTGCAAGGCTGCAACTAGTGAGGTAAACAAACACGCACACACACCTATTAACACAACAAACACCTCCTATATACAGTCAAACATACACACACGAATACCCGTTTCTCAAATGCAACTCTTCAACGTCTTACCGAAATAGGCTCTCCATTTGATAACAACGCCTTTGTCTAATTTTACGTCACCGGCCGGTAGTTCATGTGGACGGCTGCTGATTATGAAGCATGTCATCCAATGGAAGCATGCGCAGAAGAGAAGTAATCATAATGCAGTTTCGTTCACTTTAGAACTATGAAAAGCAGAAAGGCTGCTGTTAAGGAAACTGAAAATAATGATGCTTGCTTTGCTATTTATATATGTCGATTATCTAATCCATGGCCATGACGACACTCAAAATAAACAATCATTTTCAGCCATTGATTTTTCCTCATAAAGAAGTTTCTGCAAATTCTTCTCTGCCAGAGATATTATATAAATATGTGTGTGTGTGTAAGTTGAACGTACTTCCCTTCCGTTTACTACTGCTGGTTACAGAGACAAGACCTAAAGACTTACAGATGTATGTAATATAATATTCACTGACCACCCTTTTCTTCAAAGACAT